TCTGGATTACTGTGTTAAAGAAGCAGCCTGGCTCCTGGTGTCTTCCATTATGAGCAGGAATCATTGGACTTCTTGGTGCGTTTACCATAACATTCACTCGCCTCAGGTCACCTCCTTTGTGCATTATTTTCTTTTTTCTGTGCATTTACATAATTATGATAAAATCAACCAATAATATCAGTTTGCTGATATAATTGGACATGCTTGGTTTTATCACTATGACTTTTTTTAATTTATGGCATATTATTTATTTTTGAAATTAAATTAATTAGACTAATAACCCTTGCTGAACGAAGCTAATTCAGATTCTAAAAGAAGGCGTAAGAGCGGCTGTGTTTACAAGGTCAGGCATGAGGACTGCCAAGATATCAGTCTGATTGACAGGAAGGGACACAACAACCCCGTCTGACACTGGCACCAAGCACATCCTGATAATGAGGAGTGTGTGTGTGATAGAGAGAGCCAGCAGAAAAGCAAACTTACTGAATACTTGAGAGACAGCAGAAAAGCAAACTTACTGAATACTGAAAGAAGCCAACTGGGGCTAAACTTGTAAAAGATGTGTCCCTTTTGGGGAAAAGCTGAATTCAGGGATATCTGTTTGGATTAAAATGTTTTGTTTTGTTTTTTTTGTCAAATGCTCAGGAAAATACATCAAATATGTTAAAATATAAAACACCTTATTCAAACATTATTGGATTTTTTTAAACACATATACCCATAATACTCACTAATACATACACACTAATATTCAAAAATAAACACCTTCAAATTCACCATGGAAATGTGTTTAAATGTGTATCTTTAACCTTCTTTATCCTCTTCGTCAGGGGAGACATTTCTGTTGTCCTTGTCTGTCCCTGCTCTGTGTACCAGCCCGATGCCAGCACTGTCTCTACGCCAACACTAAGTCAACGCCATTGAGGCAAAAGTGCGCCGTCAGTCGGTGACAGCAGAGTTTTGTTTCTTCCCTCTATTTCGGAGGTTTATTTAACAGCATGTGACAGCAGAGATCAGAAATGTTTGGCTTCGACGTGTGTTTTCAACTACACAGCACAGAAACCCATTTTAAATAGAGCGCTGAGAGAAAATGAAGACGACTCCCTGCAACGTCTCCTTTCAACTCCTGCTCACATTTCCTCCGACTGCAGCTTTTCTGTTCTTTTCTACACAGAAAAGCCTTTCTCCTTCCTGTCAGGCCACAGAAATCACTTTTTATCACCGAGCGTCACCGACTAATGTGTCTCAAAAGACCGTGTGATAGAGAGAGAGACAGAAGCCCGTATGAATCAGTCCCAGTGAATGTCAACACTTTTCATGTTGCCTAAACCCTCTATTTTGTTTTGACTAAATCAAACTCCTCGTCTTCGTGCTCTCGCATGAAAGAGTGAAAACACATTTGGTTTGGGTCTCGTGTCAGACCGTGACATGTTCATTGCCTGTAACTTATTATCACGGCTTCTCTCCGTGGAGGAGGCCAACGTCCTCTCAGCACTTTGTAAGGGTTGGTTTCAGTCTGATTTTGCCACATCTCTACTCTGCCGTAGTCTGATCACAGTTTGGCAAGAATAGGGTTTAAGAACTAACTCAACACCCAGCGTGTGTTTTTGGATGTATCACACAGCCTCCCTGAGCTCAGGGCAGGAGAGTAAATATGTTTAGGACTCACTGACCCAACTGTCAAATGGATGGTGAGGAAATGTATGAGTAATAAAAAAAGACCATCTTTACTAGACTTTGAAGCAAAACTTGGAGTTTTGGTTCTGCATTTTTTATTGCAATATAGTGCAGTACCATTGGATGAATCTAGAGGGGCGCTGTTTTACACGTCATAAAATGCTGAGCGAGAGGAGATGACAGTGTTTTTATAAAATGAATGAAATAAAGGGAGGATCCGTTGAGGGTGAGTGTGAATCATGAACATCTCTACTCTGTTCTACACCAAATAAAAACCTGCTGTTTTTTTTTTTTTATTCCAGCAACATACAGAAAAAAATGTGTTTTTCCATCAGAAGGAATTTTTAATTATCCTTATCAATCACAATTAATCGTGATTAATCCACAACATAACCTGTGATTGATCAGATTCAATGCTTTAATAATTCACAAACTTCGTAACAAGACGATCCATGTGCCAAAACTTTTCACTGTCTGGTGAGCTGTGGGAGGCAGCGCCAAGTTATTACACAGGGGGGGAGAGAGAGAGAGAGAGATGTGATGAACAACACGGGGGCTGAAAAAAAGGCAACATGATGGAGGGAGCGATAATGTCTGTGAGAGACGAGACTGATGGGTCTGTATCAGAGGGAGGCGGGGATAAAAGACGCTCTGCCACCTGCTGGCAGCTGCAGCGTGACTCCGCCGTGACAGGTTGTCAGTGGGAGAAGTGTGTGAGCATTTTACTGATGTTGTCACCGAGGTGAGAGCAGAGATCAGTAACAGCAGCTTCCACCGCAGGTGACGTTGGCTGATGCTGAAAATGTCACATTTGTTTTAACATTTCATTCTATTCGTTATTATCCTGAGAGACTAGGGTTCGGTGCCAGGGGTCGACCATGAGACGGGTGTTGGATGAGTCTGTAGAAACATGGCCTAAATGATCCATATTTTAGAAATAAAATTATCCCACTTTTAGCTCGTTCCTACTTCACATGTCCAAGTTAACGCCAGTTCAAATGACCTCGTGAGCTCAACTCAGTGAATGACATTTAAACCTGATGTGTTTGGTAACTGAACGTATCATGCTGCAGTAAAAGGACAATGGGAGACTTCAACTATTGATGTTAGAGATGATGAGCAGCAGCAGCATCTGGAATCAATTATTGTGTCTGTGAACTGACCTGTGGAGTGTGGGCTAAATGATGGGCTAAATGATGTAATTACATAATGACAAGCTCCGAGTTCATCAACGATACGTCCAGCATACGAGGACGATCAGCCACGGCCGTCTGTCAGCTCCAGTCGAGGTTTATCTCTTTTATCGAGTGTCAATACACATGAGAAAATCTGAATTAAACCTGGCATTTACATATAAAGATACACAACATCCAGGGGAAATTCTGCACCACGAAAATAAAGGGGAACCAAAATCTTTCATCATGTGTGGAGCCAGTAAATAACCTTACCCATAATGCTTCACCACAGCGTTTCAACTCCCTCGGCCTCTATAGAGGAAATGGCGTGCAGATGCGAATTCAAACAACAACAAATGATATTTTGTGTTTTTTTCTGCTTCCTCAGACAAACAGAGGGGCCGACCGGCCCTTTAAAATGTCTCCCTCCTCCCCCATCAGTGCTGCCTTTTACTTCGGTGGTAAACCTCAAAGCTGCTGTTAGGCTTCACATGTGACCGGTCCTCTATGACCTCATTAGGACCAAACATATGAAAACACACATGTGATTCAGCCCCATGATTAGATAAAAACTAATAGACATGAAACACTATCAAAAAGCAGCATTTACAAAAAAAACACCTGAAAGATTTAAGTAATTAAACCCGAGGGATGGAATTAGTTTAATTTAGCTGAGCAACAGAGTAGAGTTCACTACTGTGAATAATACATGTTTTTAATTGGAGTTGATGCTGTGTTATTAGAGGTTTTGTTGGGAGTGTACAGCACCTGATAACTGTGTGTGCTCTGCACCTCGCATACATCTACCCTCCATAATTCTTCTCTGTTTTTTGGTCATTTAGGAAAGTCTCTATTAATTATGATTGTGATGTATATTACGATCACTACTAATCACGATTAATCATGACTAATCCACAGCTGCCCTGTGATTAATTGGACTAAACTTTTTAATGACTTGACGGTCCTTCTCGGAGTGTAAAACAGTTCCTGTTCCAGTTTTCCGTCAGGCTCCTGAGTGAAGACGACAGCGGAGGAACTGTCCCTTCAGGGCTTGTCATTGATCTCTCCGTAAGGGCCGATGCAGACGATTGCTTTTCATTGTTTCTGCTCGATATTAATGCAGCGTTTGTAAGTGGGTGGACAGATTTATTCTGCCGCTGAGGCCACGGGTTGTTATCTCCACTATTGCTCTCCAGTGATTTCCCTCTGACACTTTGTTGTGTCTGTTGTCTGTCTTATCTCACGCACTCTCTGTGCACAGGCCGCCGCTGTACGGTGGAACTCCCTTTATTTATTCCCGTTGGACCAGATTATTCAGGAGCTCCACAATTCACTTCAGTTGTGAGGAGATATTATTCAAATGTATTTACCCCTTGAAGAAATCAGATTTATCACTATTTATTCATATAAATCAGCAAATTAGTTTCTCCACAACAGACGCAACTTTCAAGAGTGTTACACAAGATGTCCGCAGGTTACAGCATGAAAGAGCTACAAGCATAACTGCCTTCATTTGCTAGATCACGCACACAAGAAGAAAGTTTGAATTTGAAAAAAAACAAAGGTTAAATTGTAAAATTTGGTCGTGGCTTAACACAGGACTCTGTGGTCAGCAGGGTCGCGACCCTGCCTGGGTCCCCTCTCTGTTTAACCAGGCCTTTGGTGACCTGAGCTCAGGTGGAGATTACTGTTATGGTGCCTGCTCTAATTAGAGCTTCATTAACATGAAGCCTGAGCCTCTTCACATTAGCTGTGGTTAAAATAGAGTCCGTTCCGCAGCCCTGATTGAACCGTTCCACGAGAACAACACCCATAATATTTCTAATCCACTTTCATCACTTTGTCCTTGGCTAAGTTTTCATTTTCTTTTTCTTTTTAATGTCTGCACATTCTTTTCCTTTCCTACGTAACTCATCTGATCCTGTCGTCCTCCTCTCCTCCTCCTCCTCCTTATTCAGCTCATTAGTTTTAATGCTCCAGCCCGTCCTTCTCACATCCCAGATGAAGTTTTTTCCTCTTTTCTGTACTTTCTTCACATTTCTTCTTTCTTGTCCCTTAACTTTTCTGGCATTTATTCTTTTCTAACTTCCAAACTTCATCCCTGTTTTTTTTTTTTTTTTTTGTCTCTTCGCCTGGTGCTGTCACCAGGCATGGCTGACTGAGATCCACGAGTACGCCCAACAGGATGTGGTGCTCATGCTGCTCGGAAACAAGGCAAGTTTTTGTTGTTGTTTTTTTTAAACATAAATCAGATTCTTATTGGCCAGGTATGGGCACGAATAAGGGATTTGACTCTGTGTACAAAAGTCAACACGCAAACATAGTATACTGTAGATGATAAAAGTGTATTTTATACTATTTATCATTGAAAACATTTACACTTCTTCTGAAGACAATTAATTCTGACTGACCTTTGACACGATAGGAAGTGACAGGTTCTAACCACTATGTGGCGTGAGTGTTCCTCATTTCACCTGTTTGTTCTTCTGCTCCCATCCTCAGGCCGATGCCACTCATGACAGAGTGGTGAAAAGAGAAGATGGGGAGAAGCTGGCTAAGGTGATCAAACACGACATGAACTGCATCGAACGAATCGCAAAAATGTAGCATCTGCCAAGTCTTTCAACGCCACAGAATAAAACTTCTTTATATGAATTTATTCTGCGTTCTGAGCAGTAAAGTGTAACTAAGCTGTTAGTGACTTTAGGCTCAGTCTGGAGGGAGACGGGGAAAAAACAAACATCAGTCATCATAAAACAGGGAGACAAATCTGTCT